CATTGTGTCAAATGTCCCCACGCAGCCTGTTTCATTCAGGTGTGTGTATGTCTCGACAAGTGACCTATGACTTATAGTTCAGTGTGGATTTTGTTCACTGTTGTAATATTTCTGAACACATTTGATCTAATCACTTGTAATATATCTGTATTTTTTCAGTTTTAATTTTTTTTCAGAGCAAATATTATAATGATATATAATCTTATATGGACTTCTGCTTTTACAGATTGTGACAGAGTGTCAAAGTGAGTGTTTTGTCCCAAGACTTCGCCGCACCAAAAGTGTCTTTGTAAGTTTTCATTTACCTTGAAACATTTCATTTATTTCCATGTAATTGCATATTATTTTCAAATGGGTCTTAAAGCGAAACTATGCAGGTTCGTTCGCTTCTTTGCTGTTTTTCCATCTGTGGATCTCCCCCTATTGTTCCGGAGTGCTTGTTTAACAACAATGATTCAACAGTCGCAAACTCCACGGCCATGTGCATTTGTTTACAATGAAGCCGGCAAGAAGCACAAGTGAAACAACAATACCATTTAGTCTGCATCTCCTTTTTTCCCCCCAGCTCTGCCATCGTAATTACTCTGAAATTAAGCTCCAGCGAGGTGCTGTAAAGAAGTCCATGTTTGTTGCGAGACTAAACTAACTAAATAAGTTACCATTAAATCGACCAATTATCAAAATAGCATCTGAGTTATCTCATATTAATGATTGGCCAGTCAACTAATAATTAATTCTATGTCTGTTTTTAGATGAAAGACATAGACCTGGAAGATCCATCTGAATTATACGATTCTGCATCAAGCGGTGATGAATATGTGCCAGTTTCCGCTGGAAGTGACGGTGACGAGAGTTGTGGAAGAAGATCATCTCAGGCTCTTTTTGATATGATAAATCTCTCTGTCTCAGTGGGATCTCCTGTTTGCGACAGCACCACACAAGACAACATGCCACTTGATCTAGTCGGAGAAACATGTGAATTTGTGGAAGAGGAGGAGCCCTGTTCCAGTCAGTCCATTAACAGAGAAACATGTGAAGTTACTGAAGAGGAAGAACCCTCCTCAAGTCAGTCCATTAACAACAATGTATTTGTTCGAGCCCCCCACAAAAGAGATGGGATTAGAGTTTATGACAAAAAACATTATTGCCTATATTGTTCCAAGCCTTATCCTAAAATCGCAAGGCATCTAGAACATGCACATGAAAACAAACCTGATGTGGCAAAAGCCCTGAGCTTTCCAAAAGGTTCCAAACAAAGGAAAATGCATCTAGATTTCCTTCGCAACAGAGGAAACTATGCTCATAATGCCTCAGTTATGAAGTCAGGAACAGGTGAACTTGTGCCATTTAAGAAGCCACCTAAGGGGGGTCAGGGAAGTGATTTTATGCATTGTGCTTTTTGTCAAGGGCTTTTCACAAGAAAGGTTCTGTGGCGACACATGCGTGCTTGTAGACTTAAACCTGGGACAGACAAACCCAAACCCGGAAGGAACCGTGTGCAATCTTTGTGCACATACACAGCAGCTGTGCCTTCAAATATAAGTAAACAGATGTGGGGAGTCATCAGTGCCATGAATCCTGACCCAGTGACAGAGATAATAAAAAATGATGAAGTGATTATAAACTTTGGGCAACATTTATTGAACAAAGGCGGGATGTCAGCGAAGAATCAACAGCAGGTCCGAGAGAAGATGCGAGAATTAGGACGCTTAATTCATAATGCTAGGAAAGTCACAACGTTAAAAGTAATGGAAGACTTTGTCAAGCCACAAAAGTACATTGAGACCGTCAAAGCTGTCAAGGCCACATGTGGCTATGACAGTGAAACAAACATGTTCAGGATTCCATCACTAGCAAACAAACTTGGGAATTCCCTAGTTAAAATAAGCAAGCTGTTAAAAGCTCAGGCTTTAATCTCCAACAACGTAGAAATGGTCAAGAATGCCAGTGATTTTCAAGACATCCACCAGGAAAAGTGGAATGAGATGATCTCAGCCACAGCACTGAGAAACATCAGGGAAGCAAAGTGGAATGTGCCTGCTCTCATGCCGTTTACCGAAGATGTCCAAGGAATGCATGCATATCTTACTCAAGTGCAAGATGAGTGGTTCGACACTCTCTCTGAAAATCCCTCTGGGAAAGCTTGGTCAGAGTTGGCGAAAGTGTGTCTTGTCCAGACAATTTTCTTTAACCGCCGCAGGGAAGGAGAGGTAGCAGGGATGCCTTTGTCTGCATTTACCAATCGAGATACTTCAGACCCGCATGAGGATGTAGATTGGGCCCTCTCAGAAGTGGAGAAAAAGCTCTGCAGACACTTCACAAGGATAATTGTCAGGGGGAAGCGTGGACGCCCAGTCCCAATTCTGCTTACCCCAAAAATGCTGAATGCAGCAGAACTCCTTGTGAAGCAAAGGGAGGCTTGTGGGGTTCTAAAAGAAAATGAATACATGCTTGCAAGACCATGCGCCATGACACATTTTAGAGGATCTGACTGTATCCGTGACTTTGCAAAAAGGTGTGGTGCCAAGTGTCCCCAGTCACTTACCTCAACCAAACTCAGAAAGCATGCTGCCACCCTGTCAACAGTTCTCAACCTGACTGACACGGAAATGGACCAGCTGGCCAACTTCCTAGGCCATGACATAAGAATTCATCGGGAATTCTATCGTCTACCAGAGAAGACATTGCAACTGGCCAAAATAAGCAAGCTTCTCATGGCACTCGAACAAGGGAGGATCAGCGAGTTCCATGGGAAAAACTTGGATGAAATAACTATTGAACCACATGGTGTGTTGACTTTTTTTGTTTGTATTCACCATATATTCCTTGGTGTTTGATCACATTTGTAAGTTTTATTTTGTATTACAGAGCGAGCTCTGGAAAGCGATGAGGACGGTCAGAGTCAAGAGAACTATCCGTCAACTGATGGTTATAATACTTCCCATCAACTTGATGGTAGGTATTTTAAGTTATTCTCAATATATGCTTTGCCTCTTTTCTATGAGCCATGTTGGGAAGCTCCTGAGCTCCCAGATGTGACTACTGGGCTTACTGATTGCTACATTTACATGAAATAAATAAATGATAGCAAAAATAATAGTTTATGATGTACTTTTTAAATTCTTGCTCATGAGGAGGTTTCTGGAGGCCAGCTCAGTTTTAAAACTCTCAATTGATAATAAATATTTATTAACCGTACCGACTATACTTTGTTTCAGTGCACTAATTAAAAGTCATAAACTGACATACATTCTTTATTGTCAACAGTATGTGGTGCTTTGCAAGTACAATTCATATTTTGATGTAAAAGCTGACTTTTAATTTTTTTTCAGAACCATCAACAGAGGAGTCAGTTCTTTCTGAGGTAATGCTGCCCACACCATCAAGGAAGCGAAAGCTGTCGTCTCAACCATCGTCAACATCTGCTGTTCTTGACGATGCTCCTTCAAGGCCCTCTGTTAGGAGTAAGTAATAATCAGAGAATGTCTGACTGGAGCAGTTTCAGGTTTCCAGATCCACCTTTTCTCATCACTGTGGTGGAAAAAATGTATGTCCTGAAGTCATTCTTAACTATCCTTAAACTAAAATTTGATGGTGGTCACTGTTGAGATTTGTGGGAGCTACCAGTATTTATATTCATGGCAGTACATAAATCATTTTTAGTGAAACTCCTTTTGCTAGACTGCCCCTAATAATCAGCTGATTTGAAGTGCTGATCATGTGAGGTAAATGTCCATTCACTTGCTGAGCAGATAAATTCCACCCCTTCTTGGTTTGATGGTCTGAGTTTCTGAAGCCAAATAAACTTCTTGACTTTACTCAGTCATCGTGGATGATCGACATAACTTGGGATTAAGATAACTTTACAAATAACACAAAACAAACTGATTCAAATACAGGATTAAATATGCATATACTTAGTTCCAATAAAGAAAAAGTAACATATTAATATGGTAAATTCTTGCTTGCGAGGAGGTTTCTGGAGGCCAGCTCAGTTTTAAAACTCTCAAATAAAAATAAAAATGTATTACCTGTACCAACTATACTTTGTTTCAGTGCACTAATCAAAAGTCATTAGTTCTAAAACTGACATAAATTCTTTATTGTCAACAGTATGTGGTGCTTTGCAAGTACAATTCATATTTTGATGTAAAAGCTGATTTTTTTTTCAGAACCATCAACAGAGGAGTCAGGTCTTTCTGAGGTAATGCTGCCCACACCATCAAGGAAGCGAAAGCTGTCGTCTCAACCATCGTCAACATCTGCTGTTCTTGACGATGCTCCTTCAAGGCCCTCTGTTAGGAGTAAGTAATAATCAGAGAATGTCTGACTGGAGCAATTTCAGGTTTCCAGATCCACCTTTTCTCATCACTGTGGTGGAAAAAATGTATGTCCTGAAGTCATTCTTAACTATCCTTAAACTAAAATTTGATGGTGGTCACTGTTGAGATTTGTAGGAGCTATTTATATTCCTTTATTCAATTATACTCCAATTGCTAGTCCGTCACTAATGATCAGCTGATCTGAAGTGCCAATCATGTGAGGTAAATGTCCATTCATTTGCTGAGCAGATGAATTCTGCTTTTTCTCGGTTTGATGGTCTGAGTTTCTGAAGCCAAATAAACTCCTTGACTATACTCAGAGAGAGATTAGTAATCTGTGTGAGAGGATAATAAAGTGTGTGTCATGGAGTGTAATAGTGTGTGTGTGAGAGAGAGAGTATGGTGTTAGATTTGAGAGATTTGCTACTTTATTTACCCTATACTGCCTATTTACAAATTTGTCTTTCTCAGCTCTTTCAGGAAAAGCCACACAGAAGAAATCACCGTGGACGCAGACAGAGATAGGAGCGGTTGAAAGGCATCTGATGAAATTCATTTCATCATGCATGGTCCCAGGAAAATGGGAATGCGAAAGGTGTCTTAGAGCTGAACCAGAGGCCCTAAAAAATCGTAACTGGCAAACCTTGAAGTATTATGTTTACAACCGTATAACAGCCATCAAAAGAGCAACAGACTAGGCTTTGTTGATTATTGTTCAGGTCAGACACTATTGTTCATGTCAGACACTATTGATATAGCTCTACTGTTTTTTTTTTAACTCTTTGAACGGCTCTTAACACAATTATAAATGCAAAATTTCAACTCAAATTTTGCATTTATAATTGTGTTAAGAGTCTAAAAAGAACATTTCATTGAGCTTTCTTGAAAAGTGTTCAGGTAACGGCCGAGAGACACTGATAGAGCTCGTAACTGGCAAACCTTGAGGTATTATGTTTACAACCGTATAACAGCCATCAAAATAGCAACAGACTAGGCTTTGTTGATTATTGTTCAGGTCAGACACTATTGATATGGCTCTACAGTTTTTTTATTAAATGAGAGTTCAACTTTTGCATTTATAATTGTGTTAAGAGCCTTAAAAAGAACATTTCTTTAAGCTTTCTTGAAAAGTGTTCAGATCACAGCCGAGAGACACTGATAGAGCTCGGTGGGAAGAGCCTTAACAGACATCTGGCACAACTATACTATACTACTGCTTTTTCTTCTCTGTTGTCTCATGTTATGCAAAACTTGAAAACATTAAAAGGTTTTCTTGGCAATGCAAGTTTTTTGTATAGTCCAATTTTAGTAGTATGTCTCAAAAGGTTTTACACAGCATAACAACATCCTCTGCCATTAGACCCTCATATCGATTGATAAAAAGAAAAAAAATTCCCAAGAAAACCTCAGTGTAAGCAACAAAGGACGGACCCCTCGCCCAGGATGGGCAGAAGTGCAATAGATATTGTTTACAGACAAGACAACAACAGTTTACAACATGGAATAACATGGAAAGTGGGAATAATGTTATCAAGAGGGGCAAATGAAGATTCTAGTGGACTGGATAGGTCATAAGCAGAGGGCAGGCTGGTTCAGGAACAGAGGGGATGATAAAGTCACTGGTTGGAGTACCGGTACCACTAATCCTACATAGTGGGGCTTTAAATACTGGTTGAAAGTTTGTTTTCACAAAACAAAGAAGCTTTACATTCATTCGGTATAGATAGCTGCATGTCAAATGTCATGTCCCCACTTATCACATTTGAATCTGTGTGAAATATGCAAATTTTTGTTAATGAGGTCCTCATCAGGCATGTCCACTCGATTTACCGGAAGTCCCCAAATAGCATGATGAAAATATTACTTCACCTTTTCAGATGTTTGAAGGCGTGTATAAGCTAACCAAGCTTTAGTTGTTGTGCATGATTTTTTTTAGACCTCTAAGGCTTGTAGAAAGGGTGGTCCCCGCAAGTGCTGATTACAAAGTTGATCCCCATGACACATAAAAACCAGTATGTGTGTGTGTGTGTGTGTGTGTGTGTGTGTGTGTGTGTGTGTGTGTGTGTGTGTGTGTGTGTGTGTGCGTTTGTGTGTGTGTGTGTGTGTTGTTTCTTGCTATTCTTGCACTCTTGAAAAGGGATATGAATCCTGCTCACTGTTGGCTATGTTTAATTTCTTTTTATAGTCCTGAGCTGGAGCTGGTCTTCACAAAGCCTACACTAACAACATGTTGCCGACTGATGATGTACACAGAAAAGACATGCGTGGTGCTCTCTACACACCTACTGATATAGCAGATCCATAAAAAAATATACTCTCTCAGTTAGATAGATAGATAGATAGATAGATAGATAGATAGATAGATAGATAGATAGATAGATAGATAGAT